TGTGTTGTATGTGATGTGTGTGGTGTATGTGGTGTATGCACATATGTGTTGTGTATGTGGTATATATATTGTGTGTGTGTGTGTGTGTGTGTGGTACATGTGGTGTATGTAGTGTTTGTGTGTGGTATATCCGGTGTATGCATGTGTGTATGTGCTGTGTATGTGTGTGCTGTATATGGTGTGTATGTGTATGGTATATGTGGTGTGTGGTGTATGTGCCATGTACATGTATGAATGTGTTGTGTGTGTGTGTGTGTGTGGTATGTGATGTGTGCATGCGTGTGTATGGTATTATATGGTGTGTGGTGTGTGTGTTCTCATGTGGAAGCATGTTTATGTTCAGGTGTGCACATGCTTGGTGACCCTCAGAGACTGCTGCGAAAGTCTCCAGAACTAGCTCTCCACTTAAACTTTTGAGACTGCGCAGAGCTCCCTGTCAGCTCTGCTGGCTGTCAAGGGGCTCCTGGGACCTGCCCGCCTCAGTGCTCTTCACCCCATCCTGATTCTGGCCTTACAGGCATGCGCCGCCATGCTGGCTTTTTATCTGGTTGCTGGGAATAGGACTCGGGTTCACATACTTGTCCTGCAGGCACTCCACAACTGAGCTGTCTCCTCACCAGCAGCTCCATAATTTTTCGAGTGTAAGGTTCAGTGTAACAAGCATTGCCACCATCCAGCTGTAGAATGTTTTTAAATTCTTGAGTAACTGAAATGTGAGCACTACTAACTCTACTAAGCACACCCTAACCCCAGGCCCTGTATTCTTAAGAATTTGAGTTCTTGTGGACCTTGTATGGTGGGATCTTATAATACTTGCCTCTTTGTGTTTGGCTTATTTCTCTGCAGAATCCTCAAGGTTGCTCCCTTGTTAAGGCTAATAATATCTTATTTAAGTAATGTTGAAAAATTGAACAGCCTGGCTTCCCAAGACACCTTTCTAGAATATCCACTAGGGGGCAGTAAAGGATACAGAAAAATTTTAATGAGCCTGAGTACCAAGCAAGCCGGCTAGGCATCCTGTGTCTCTCTTTCAACCACCCGTGTATACAGTTACAAGATAATGGATTTCACATCGACAGCAGAGGTGGATAAACCAGAGATACCATCAGCTGTAGTTTGAGAGCTGTCTTTCTCACCTTCTGGTAAACACTGAGACACAGAACTTCCTTTCGGAAAATGGCTTCATTCACTTTAGTCCAATGAGTCTCAGTGTAGACTTCAAGAACCACATATCCAGGTCTCAGATGAAAGCAAGTCAGAATTTTCAGTGGGAGGTGAGGGTGGGGGTGGGGTGGGGCCCAGAGATAGAAACCATTCTTAACGTTGGACATTGGAAGGAAAGAGGGGTCTAATGAGAAAAACCAGAATCAGAAAGTATGAATTATGAAAAGAAGTGGCCGAGGGGACTGAAGATAGAGCAACCTCGTTTCCTAGACCATGTGTGTAGCTGGAGTTTCCTTGTCCCACCAAGTTCTACCACTTCAGCCCCAAATAAACACACACAGACGCTTTATTATTAAACTGTTGGCCAGTGGCTAGGGCTTCTTATTGGCTAGCTCTGTCTTAATTATTAACCCATTTCTATTAATCTATGTATTTCCACATGGTCTTGACTTACTGGAGAATGTCCAGACCTGATTCTCCTTTGGCACTCTTTGTGGTCTCTCTCTCTCCCTCTGCCTCCTTTCCCAGAATTCCCATCGTCTCTTAGTCCCATCCATCTTCCTGCCTCTATCGGCCAAAAAGTGTTTATTCATCAACCAATAAGAGAAACATATACAGGACATCCCCCATCGTGCGTGTGTGCGTGTGTGCATGCATGTGTGTGCATGCGTGCGTGCGTGCGCACGTGTGCAAGTGTGCGCGTGTGTGAGTGCGTGCATGCGTGCGTGCGTGCGTGCGTGTGTGTGTGTGTGTGTGTGTGTGTGTATGTGTAGACCAGAGGTCGGAGCTGGATGTCTTTCTCAATTGTTCTTCGCCTTCTTTTGTTTTGAGGCAGGGTCTCTCACTGAGACTGGAGCTCACCAGTTCAGCTAGGCTGGCTGGCCAGCAAGCCCCATGGATCCTCCTGTCTCTGCCTCTCTCTCTGGTGCTAGGATTGTAGGTTTACACCACCATGTCCAGATTTTTATTATGGGAATCAAACTCAGGTCTTGCTGGCATGGCAGTTAATTTAATGTCGGAGCCAGGCTGTGGCACTTGCTTTGGACCACACTAGGAATCCAGAGAGAAGATTTGAAACTGGGGTATCCTACACAGTGTCCAGGAAACAATTGTGAGACAACCATCTTCAGGGAGAGGCCAGAGCCCAGATGCCAGTAATGTCTGAGATACCAAGAGAACATTTCCTGTGGCAATCAGACTTTATCTTATCAAAAGTGAAAATGGCCAAGACACTCTCACTGTCCCCCTAGCCAGTTAGGGGACCCAAGACAAGTTTTGTCACCTCTCTAAGCCTCAGCCTTCCCTTTGAACTATGAGTGGATGGGATGATACCGCTCTCCAAGGATCCTTTCTGTTCAGAAAATTCAACGATTCTATTAGAATTAATAATCTTGATTTGTAGTGACAATTCTGGCAAAGAGCAGAAGAAATATTCAACTATGTAATAAATGACAAGGACTATTGACCATGTAGTTTAATTTATTTAAGGCACATGCCCCAAATTCAAAGGAGAAAATGTTACTCTTGATAATATATTGAACTGTTAGTATCACTGGCCTAGAAAAGGCTTTCCAGAGGCAGAAATTACCATCAGTGCAAATTTGACATTTTTCACTGGTTTATCCACGGCTGCCATTTGTCCATTGCACTCATATTTACTGTAAAGGCCATACATGTGGATGCTTTGGATGAATATTAAATAATGACATAAACATCAAGGTCACCATTGCAGGAAAGGTTCCATGGAGGACCCAGGGGCCTGCATTGATCTCTTGTGAAGTTCCATTCTGGAATCCTGCTGACATGGAGGAAACAATTGATGTGAACCATTATTAAAGCTTTAAGTGCTTCTCCATTGTTAAGGATCTTTTACAAGCCCAAGGAATTGGCAAAAGCTCCAGTTAGAAATATAGGCCAGTCAAAGAGATAAGTACATTCTAGAGTGCAGATGGCCTGGGTCAGGCCTACAAAGCAAAGGCAAAGGCTGACGAGAGGCCAGCACTGAACGTCACTGACTCTGCCTGCCTGCCTGGTGCTGCTCTTGGTGACAGCTCAGAACAGAATTTCCATGACAGGAGCTGTAGGGAGCAAAGTGCCCTCTATGCCTTTGTCCATCTTCACATGTCCCCACTGAAAATCTCCTCTCTCAACATTTCGGTTATCGGCTTCTGTAGCTCCCCCAACGAACTTTACCACAGACATCTGGATGTCTCAGGCTGTCTGAGTGCCTGAGACTGGCCAGTCTGTAAAGAACAGAATGTATGTCTTTCAGCTCCACAGTCCAATGTCAAGGTGCTGGTAGCTGCTGAGGGACCTTTTACTGCATCACAAGGTTGTGCAAAGCATCACAGGACAAGACATGGCAAATGTGATAGCCAGCGGTGGGTTGGTCTCTTTCCCTTTCTTATGAAGCCACCAGTGCTGTCATGAGCCTCCATTCTCATGGCTTTTCCAACTTTACCTGATAAGTTTCCACCTTTCGATCCCATCAGTATATGCACATGGGTGTTAAGTTTCCAGCATGTGAGCTCCAGGGGAACACTTTGAAGCAAGTCATACTCTGGAGGAATCAGGTACCTATAAATTATACACAAACACGGGTTCAGATCTGAACTGGCTAAGTGCCTGGATGATCACAGGAGTGTCCTGCTGACCCGGATCGGGAAGGAAAGTAAATGCAGCGGATGATAGAACCTAATTCTCAAAAGGTTCAAACAGACTGGATGATTGGCAGAGTCTGTGAGAAACACATAATAAACCAGAAAACATGTTTCTTCTGTACTAGCTCAGAGTGACTGTGCTTGGTCCTTTGTACATTTCAGTTGTCCCTTCTTTATATTGCCCCATTGAGGGTTGAAGGGATATGGAGGAAGGCACAGCGCTTTAGAGACATCAACCCCAGACTCTGAGACATCAATCTCAACTCTGGCACCTCTCCCAAGTAAACTGGCAAGTTACTCTATCTTCAGAAGATGACAATGGCCGGGCTTTCGTCAGCTGCATGTCAGCTTTTGTGTTCTCAGTCTGCAACATTTATTTTCTCATTGAATCTTTAGCTCAATCTCAGTCCTGGAGCTGAAAATGTAGCTCAGGTGGCTGCATGCTTCCTAGCATGCACAAAGTTAGCCTAGGTGGTCACATGCTTCCTCGAAGGCACAGGGGAAGCTCAGGTATTCTCATGCTTACCCAGCATGCACAGAGTTGGCTCAGGCAGTTGCTTGCTTACCCAGCATGCACAGTGTCCAGTACCACATAAACCAGGTGTGATGTTTGCTTATCTGTATTCTTAGCACTTGGGAGGTAAAGATAGCAGGGTCAGGAGCTCAAGGTCATCCCTAGCTACAGAGCAAGTTCAAGGCCAGGCTAAACAAGATACCCGGTCTCAAATCAAAGAAGATCCAAAAAAAACAATCTTAGTTCTATTTAGCAGGTATGGAAGGTCAAAATGATTTGCACCATGGCTTGAACCCAGGCAGGCTCTTTCCTCTCATATATAACCATGATTTCTGGGAGGTGTGGTGAACTAGTAGAAAGTACCTAATACAGTGCCTGGCAATCACAGGTTCTCATAAATTGTATTAAGCTACTGTCATTGTTAATAGTTAAGTGATTTGTACAAGAATACAACTAAGGGTTGGAAAGTGACTTGAACTCGGGTCTTGTAACTGCCTTTCTAATCCATGTTCCACCTCCCTCTAGAGTACAAGGCTGAAGATAGTGCTATGTCTTTGTACCCCCGGACAGTGTCATTTCCCTGGAATACACCTAGTGAGCACTTGGGAAGGGGGCTCTCTGACACAGCGCTTAAGGTTTTTTTTTCCCACCCCCCCTCCTAGGTCCGGATGGTGAAAGATGGTGACCCGTCCTGGAAGCCCACTTTTATTGTGAAACCAGATAGTGGTTGTCAGGGTGATGGAATCTACCTCATTAAAGATCCCAGTGACATCCGCCTGACTGGGACCCTCCAGAGCAGGCCGGCAGTGGTCCAGGAGTACATCTGTAAGCCTCTCCTTATTGACAAGCTCAAGTTCGACATCCGTCTGTATGTCCTGCTGAAGTCCTTGGACCCCTTAGAGATTTATATAGCCAAAGATGGGCTGTCTAGATTTTGTACAGAGCCATATCAAGAGCCGAACCCCCAGAATCTGCACCATGCCTTCATGCACTTGACCAACTACTCGCTGAACATCCACAGTGGCAAGTTTATCCACTCTGACAGCGCCAGCACAGGCAGCAAGAGGACCTTCTCCAGCATTCTTTGTAAGCTCTCTTCCAAAGGTGTGGACATCAAGAAGGTCTGGTCTGATATCATCTCCCTGGTGATCAAGACTGTCATCGCCCTGACCCCAGAGCTCAAAGTTTTCTACCAGTCAGACATCCCTACAGGGAGGCCCGGGCCCACCTGCTTCCAGGTAACCACGCCAGCTTTCACCCTGAACTTCTTGACTGGGCTTGACTGGGCTGAGGAAAGCTTCTTGATCTTCTATGGGATGAAGGATGGGGGAGGATGGCCAGACATGGGGATATAGGTGGTGACTGTTCTGGGCCTTTGAAACCTCCAGCCCAACTTCCAGCTTTCTCTTTCCTGGGTGACTTGTGGCTTGCCCCAAGTCATTGAACTATAGATCTGTAAGATTCTTGTGAGCACGTATCATTCGTACATTCTTCATTCGTTGAACAGTTGTTACTGGCTACTTAGTAGAGGGGTCCAGCATTGTAGAATCCTGCTGCCCAATGCCAAGAATCCATACTGGAAAAAAGTCACTAAGAAGCAATTGATACAGAGTGTTACAGTGGCGGGATCAGATAGGAAATGGACTAGGTACTGTGGGATTGTGGACTCACCTACCACTCCTACCTCAGCCCAGGAAAGCTTCTTCAAAGCTTAGCTAAAAGATGAAGCAGGGAATAATAGATTGGGACAGCCACAGAATGTTCTGGGTGGAGACATGTTGCTTTGGAGGTAAGAGGGAAGCCTGCTATGTCTGAGATACCAAAAGAAGTTCACTGTGGTTAGGGGTGGGGCTGAGGCACAGATGAGGGGTATGAGAGGGAAGGAGGTGGGAAAGTAGGTTAGGGCCAAGTGGTGGAGAGGCTGCGGGCAGTGGCAACCATCAGAGGGTTAGAGACAGATTATACTCATAATCTTCATATTGTCAAGTACATGGTTCCATGACCTGTGGATTAGATAATGAACCAAGGCTGGCTTTGAGGAGACTGCAGTGAGATAAACACTTCTGTGTGAGCAGAAGATGCTGGCTCTGAGTGTGTGGGAGAGGTCTTGGTGGGTGTGGAGAGTAGGTAAAGCTGAGTGCCATTTATGAGGTTGGATGGCTAGACTTGGTGCCAAAGTGGTTTGGGCAAAGAGAAGAGATGGTAACAGAGAGAAGTGAGAGGAAAGGAGAGGAGAGGGTAGGGGAGGGGAGGAAAAAAGAGAAGAGAATAGAGAGGAGAGGGAGAACTGAGATGGAGGCTCTTGGAAGGATGGAGAGAGGCTACTAGCATAGGACTGGCTAGCAGGGAAGCCCAGGAACTGGACATAAGATGCCTTTGTGGCAGCTGAAAGGAGAGGTTAGTACACAAGCAGATGCTTGTGCAGCCGTCCAGGAAAGACAGGGGTGGGCTGCAGAGAGAACTGAGAACTCATCCACTGCCTAGACTGAGGGTGTGAGGTGATAAGAGAGGACCCCTGTGATGCCTCCACTTACCTAAAGGATGGACAGAGGCAGGGGACCCACAAAGGAGATTGAGAAGTTTGGTCAAGGGTGAGCATGTCGGAAATGCCATGGAAAAGGGGGTCAGAGGACATTTGGGCATGGGCCTGCAGCCTCAAACACTGTCAGGATGTCAGGCAAGACCATCCCTGGATCTGTCCATTATGTTCACTGACACTTTCCCTGAGGATTCTAGCAAGAACTGTCTTGGGCAACCAGCCAGTCTGTGAGAAGGAAGGAAATGGAGAATTCTGTAAAATGGCTTTTAAATGCATAGGTGTAGGGTGAGACAGGGACTCACTGCCACCAGATCTGTCAGAACAGACATGAAGCTCTTGGATCCTAGTCACCTAATCTTCGAACTTGTTGCATAGGTGTGCGTGCGTGCGTGTGTGTGTGTGTGTTGTGTGTGTGTGTGTGTGTGTTAAAATAATACAGAAGATACTTGTAGTGATCACATCTGAACTACTGCCTGCCCCCTTAGTGTATTCTTCCCTATTCCATTCCCCAGCCTGCCCTCTACATAGCCACTTTCGGAATGTCATGTTGGCCATTTTCTCGATTTTCAAAACTACCTGTGGTCATGCACAAATGATCCCCTAGATAGGACGTTGTCTTATCTGACTGACTTCCGAGCTTCGAAAAAGCCCCGGTGTGAAGGGTGTGAAGTCCTGTCCCTTGAAGCACCTGCTCCCTCACGGGCAGCATTCCAAAGGTCCATCCAACTGCGCGGGCTGCTGTTGGCTTCACTTGCCCTGGTGTGTACACAGTTGGTTTATTGCTTTTTCAGTCAAGGGAGACCAGTGTTTCCTGACTGTACTAGGAGGGTGGCAGGCGGTTAGAAGCAAGAGTAAGGAGAGGGATTGCAGCACAGATGGACCCCATGTACCAGCACACGAGTAGGCAGGGTAGTTCCAAATCCAGAGAGGCTTCTCGGGGGCTTGATCACCATCATCAGGGACATCAGGTAAAAGACCCAGGGGTGGGAATTGAGGCAGCAGGGCGAGCAGGGAGTGGCAATTGTCCTCTCGAGTCCCATCCATGGTCCTATGGCAGTCATCCTTCAGTTCCTAAGCAGGTGTGTTCAGTAGCCATGAAGAGATGGCTAGGAAGGGCAGGCGAGGAAGACTCCAGGCATGCCAGAGCAAAGAATTTCTGACCCAGGTCACCACAAAGTGAGGACAGAGGAGACATCTGTGATGTGGTCACACACAGGGTTCATCCCTGAGGACTGTTGGTCATGCCTATTGGGTAGTGACAGCTATTCTAGGAGTATCACATGGGGCCAGGCAAGCATGGCCAAACCGCAGTGGCCTAGCATGAGCAAAGTCACAGCAGGGAAGGCCTAGATGGTCATCTGGGGCCTGCCGTGCAGTGGACAGGCAGCCACTGGAGTGGGGGCAGGGCCAGCTGCAGAGAACTGAAGGCCTGGATCCAGAGCTGCTGGTTTAGTCAGGCCACATCTAGCAGATGGGGCCAAAATCTTGTGACCACACTGAATACTGCCCAAGGAGTCAGGCTAGAAATGAAGCCCATTCTAGCTTTGAGAGCGCTGGGAGTCTTCTCACCACTCAATGCCACCTAGGTTCTCTGTACACTCACCTGTGTGGGCCCATTGGGAAGTGATGTGGGTGAAAGGCTTTAACAAGGTATCCAGCTCAGCATTTGTTGGCTACGCGTCTCAGGTGTACATGCAGGGAGAGGAATCGGTACCTACTCCCCACCCAGTCCACTTCTGCTTCCTTTTCTTGCAGCCCTTTTCAGGAAGCCGTTAGCTGGCCTTCAGACACCCAAGACTTTGAACAGGGTGGGCCCTGGTATAGTTCTGATGTCCCTTTCCCATGTGACCTGCCTTAAGTTACTTAACTTTTCAGGAACTCAGTTTCCTCATCTGCCTCACAGGGTTGGTGTCCAACTCAAGTGCGATAAAGACTATGATGAAACACTTTGCAACATGTTGGATGATGATGCCTAAACACAAGAAGTTGTTTCTCCGCTGGGTAGCCCTTCTTGCTTGTAGCAAGACCTGGCCAGATGGCAGCATTGCAGAACATAAACTCTGTCTGACCAACGAAGTCATGATCATCTGGGTCATGTGACTGTGACCCTGTTCCAGCCACAGCCACAGTAATGTCTTGGAAATCATGATGGCCGAGGAACGGCTGGCACGGCTCAGTTGTGGTCGGATTTCCTGTAATCTGCTGCTGAGGACCACAGCTGCCCTGTCATTCCACCCACCCCTTGAAATTATCCAGGCAGCCCCAGCCACAGAGCCTCAAATCTGCTGTCTTGAGGGTAGCAGTATGGCCCTGGCTTAAACATCAAGGTCAGCCAAGGTGTAGCAGCTGGTCATGTGGCAGAAACACATGTGGACTGTGGACAGAAGGCCTCTGCTGGGCTCTCAGGAAGGCCCTTCCTCACTCTGTGGCTTTGTCTGTATACTTTTCTTGTTCCCCATGTCTAATTCTGTCCTTGGCTGTGACCCTGGGTTGGATGTCTAGAGCTGTATCTTTCCTAAGGTTTAGCATGGTCCTCCTTCTCTCCTCCTCTGTGCCCTTTTCCCTGTCCCACAGCCTAGACACTCCACCAGACATAAGCTACGAATCAGCAGGGTGGTCAAGGGGGGTTTCCTTCTCCAGGTTTAAGCTTCCTTCAGTTCCCTCTTAAGCAACTGTCCCTGGTGAGCTTGATAAGCCAGCCTTTCCTAGTCTCTGATTCCTTACCTACAGGGAGTGAACATGTTTGTAGCTGCACTCCAGAGCTGTTGCATACTCCAGTAAGAGAGCTGTGTGGAGTAGCCCTAACACTGTAGTCACTGAAGTGACGGGTCGGATGTTTATTACACTGTTCCTATGACAACAGTTTTCACACCTGCCCACAAGGAAGGGCCTTGAAGTTACATAAACTGGCAATCATTCTCATTTTAATGTTAGCTGGAACATTGGTGTTGTGAAGTTTTGTCACCTCTTAGCCTGGCGCCCTAGCTGCCCTGTGCCTCAAATTTAGTTCTTCCAAACCGGATCTGTGTCCTTTCCCTTGGGCATCAATTGTGCTGTCCTGGTTGGGCCTTTGGTGCTCTTTCATCTTGGCCCTGGTTCACTGGTTCAGATATTCAGTGCCTTCCGAACGAGTTCACACCTCTCTCTGTGGTGCCTTCCTTGACCACTCTGATAGCTAAGTTGTTTTCTTCCTTTGGGATCAAGCACATTCCCTGGGTCCCCACTGAGACAGGAGCCTATGGCTAAGGTCAAGGCAAGGTCGGTGCCTCTAAGGGGTATGCCATTTAGTTTGGATGACAGAGAGAATCACAGTTCCTTGTAAGTCATGCTGTACAAAGGCACATACAGGATCAGGGGACAGTTTAACTGCCCAACTGAAGGCTCCCAGAGGAGGGAATACCTGAGTGAGTGAGTGCAAGGCATGAAGAAGGCTTTCACAACAGATGACGAGGGGGCACACAGTCTTCTAGTTTCCCTGCTACCCTACTGGTTGCTCCTCCTGAGCCCCTTCCTCTGGACCTGCCAATATTGGAGATCCCTAGGGATCGATTCTTGGAAATTTGGCTTCATATATCTACATCACCTAAACCATCTCATTCTGCCCCATGGCTTTAAGGGATCAGCCACATGCTGTTGAGTCCTAAATTCATATTGCTAATCTTGACCTCTGCTTGAGCTCCAGACTAAAATGTCCTATTA